CGGGGGGTGGGGGGAGGGAGCGCGATCCCAAGCTCCTGCCAGGGCTTCAAATCCCAGCTTGATCTGGCCCCTGGCTTTCCACCCAATATCCTTCTCTCACTCATCCTCCAATGCATAAGCATGGTTCTGCCTTGGGGCCTTTGCATTTGCTCTTCCTTCTGTTTGGAATGCATTTCCTCCTGGTCTTCTCTGTGGCTGGCTCCCACTCTTCCTTCAGCTTAGCTACTACCTCCTAGGAGAGGCTTTACCACTTTATCTAACCCCTTCCCCATTTTGTCCATTTCTTTATTATGCTTTATTTTTCAAAGCAAGGACTTTGTTCTGCTCACTATTGCAGACGTGGCTCCTACAATACCATGTGGCACAGGTAAGTACTCAATGTATCCTTGTGAATGAGCAGATGAATGCATGGGTGAACTGAGGGGCATTTCACCTGAGAAGCCTTCTCAGACTGCCTGGCCTGCACTTTTCTCTCCTTCTTCCTCATTCCTCTGGCATTTGCTGTTTTTGTTTGTTTGATTGTTTTCATCAATAGCTTTCTTGAGATATAATTCACACACCCTACAATTCACTAACTTAATGTATGCAAATCAATGTTTATTCGTATATTGTACAATCCAATGTATAATCCATCACAGCTTTAGAGCATTTGAATCAACTAAAAAGAAGCCTCATACCTTCTAGCTATCACACCCTGTCGCCCCATCCCCTTCCCAACAGAGTACTGATGTGGATCTAGAGAAACTGGTACCCATCACATTGCTGGTAGGAACCCTCATAAATGGTACAGCTGTCTTGGTAAATAGTCCAGCAGTTCCTCAAAATGCTGAACACTGAGTTGTCATATGACTCAGCAATTCCATCCCTAGGTACTTGCCTAAGAGAAATGAAAATGTATGACCCATAAAAACTTGTACATGGGGGCTGGGACCATAACTCAGTGTCAGAGCCCTTCCTTAACATTTGCAAGGCCCTGGGTTTGAGCCCCACATGTAAAAAAAAAAAAAATGTGTGCATGAATGTTCATACAGCATTATTCATAATAGCCAGAAAAGTAAGATAACCCAAATGTCCATCAACTGATAAACTGAAAAATAAAATGTGGTACGTCCATACCATGTAATATCATTCAGTAATAAATTCAGGTACTGGCACATGGTACAGCTAAGATGAACCCTGAAAACACTATGGTAGATGAAAGAAAGTAGTCACAAGAGACCACATACTGTGTTGCATGATCCATTCATGTGAATTGTCCAGAATAGGCAAATCCATGAGGTGGAAAGTACAACAGTGTTGCTTGGGGCTGAGGCCAGGGAGAGAGGAATGGAAAACGACTGCTTACAGGTCTGGGCTTTCTTTCAGAGACCATGAAAATGTCCCCAAATTAATTGTGGTTATAGTGGCACAGCTCTGAGAATACGCAAAACAAGCAAACAAAAACCCCTTGAATTGTGCACTTTAAATGGGTAAATTTCAGTTCGGGTGGTGCACATCTGTAATCCCAGCTAATAGAAAGGCTGAGGCAGGATTATAAGTTTGAGCCCTGCTTGGGCAACTTAGTGAGACCCTGTCTCAAAATAAAAAATAAAAAGCGGTGGAGATATAGCTCAGCGGTGGAGTGCCTTTGGCTTCAATTCCCAGGACCAAATAAGTAAGTTTAAAAAAACTATATATATATAAATTTCATCTTTGTGAATTTTATATTATGAAACACATGCAAATACTGTGAGAATGAAGAAAGGTTTTAAGTCCTCTCATTTACTTTCCATCCTTAAAAAAAATTAAAATTATTTGAAAAGCCAGTAATTTAAGTAGTCATCTGACAAAGATCTTGTAGCCATCTCACATGCTGACCTCCACTCACCAGTGCTTCAGGGCTCCGTGAACAAGAGCCATTGGGACACGCTCAGCCTCCTTCAGTTCTTGGTGCCATCCATCTGGATGGCTCCAGTTCTACTTCCTATGGCTTCTGCACAAGTTCTGGATAGGAAGGAGGCTCAGGGATTTGTCTGGAAGCTCTGTTTGCACAGCAGACCCAGCGTCTTTACTGAATGTTTGGAAGCTGGTGGAGATGAGACCCTAGAGTACTGCATCTGGGTGGTCCCCCTGCACCATTTCAGTGTGGGCTGGGGAGAAATAGGCCCATATTTCTGAAACCTGCTTCAGATTTTCCGTGCTCCTTTGTGTTCTCAAACAAGCAATTATCTTGCAAGACATTTTGCCTTTCTATGTACAGCACGTGAAAATGGACCTACCTTCTTAGCAATGTCTGCCAACAGGATTTCTTTCTTTGTGCTAAAAACACTCACACATGATTCTAACCGTGCTGCTTTCAGATTCTCTTTTCAACATATCTGTTCCTTCCCATGTGTTGTCATTTCTCTACTTGAAAATCATGACCATGAAACCTCGAACATTTCTGGGTTATGCAAACAGCTTCCCTTGGTATATTTTTAATAATCACTACTCTTATTATTACCAGATGTTGAAATTCCAGACGATAACAGAGTGACAGACTTAAGGGAAAGATTATTTGAGCAAGAGAAATGTGATGATTTTGTTCTCTGAGAGACAACAGGTGTGGGATCTGGGTTTGTATCCATTTTCTTTTATTTCGGGGTTTAACTGAGATGTTTCACACAAGCATCTTTGTTGCACTGATCCTGAGTCCTCCTTGGTAGAAGAGGGAGGCCAGTGCCTTCCTCGTGGGAAAGAAACATGTGGGATTCTATGAGGAAGGCAAAATTAACAGCTTGGAACAACATTAATTACCTTATATCATTTCTGGGGTTCAGGAATCATTGAGTAGCTGAGCTGGGTGGTTCTGGGGCTCAAGGTCTCTCATGAAGCTGCATTCAAAGCAGTGGCCAGGGCTGTGGTCTCTGGAGACTGAAATGGGACTGTAAGATTTGCTTCCAGGTTCACTTGTGGCTATGGGCAGGAGGCTGCTGTTGCTCACCAAGAACCTCTATATAGGGCTTCTCTCCGAAGTAGTGGAGGAGGGGGCTTCAGCCTTCTCTCACCTAAACTCAGTAATGAGATGCCAACACCGTTGCCATATTCTGTTGATCAATCACATTATTCAATGTTGGCACAGTGTAGAAGATAGCTATACCCTAGGAGGAAATGGCAGGAATCAGGGATCACTAGGGGCCACTTTGGAACCTGGCTACCACCCATTTTTAATGCCCACTTCAGGGATAGCTGGATAGCATTACTTCAACAACCATTTACTGGGCACTTATTGTGTGTAAGGCCTCTTCTAGGTCCAGGAATATAGATACAGTACTTGCCCTCAAGGGCTTCCACTCTAGAGGTCCATCGTAGGTATTCCAGAAAGAGAAATTTTCTCCCCAAGAGAAAGAAAAAAGAATCTTCCTAAAGGGAGTTCTTGGTAATTAAAGGCACAGCGATGATCCAAGTGCTTGGGAAAGTAGGGAACCCCCGCCAACCCCAAATGTGATCATTAAAGTTAGAGCACTCTGAAATTTTGGGCTTAGAAGCTAAGAATGTGTACTAAGGATCCCAGTGAAGTGACAACAAACATTATAATTGTCTGGGAGAAAAAGATGTACTAAGTAGGTTGTTGTAGTCCACAGTTGTGCAAGGGTGGTTTTTCCAAAACTGTTCTTTCAGACACTGGCTGCACCTAGAAGCATACTAACAAATAAGCTTTGAAACTCCTGAGCTCCTAAGCTCAATGTGAACATAACTAAGATGAGACCTCTATCTGACAAGGACCTGTTCACTTTGTTAACTTTACTGACTTTCAACGTAGAGTTCATATAAACATGTGTGTACTATATAAAAAGGTGACCTTGAATTTAAAATCTACTAGAATGTACTTTGACTTTTCCTAGTTTGTTCCAATTAGTGAGATTTTACTTTCCTGATACTTTACTTGTGCTAAAATATTCATATTTCAGACTCTTAGAGGAGACATATATGATTCATGGGATTAATGGCAAAGGGATTTGCCTACATTATCAAATTAACCTTGCTTCTTGCTAGCCTTCCTAATGCTGAAGTGAAGTTTGAGATTTATATATAAATATTGAAGTCTTTATTCTGGGCTTAATAAAACATGCATATCTTTCCAATATACCCATGGACAGAAATGGATACCAGAACTTTCTCTGATGCTGAAGAGCCTTGCAAGTGCCCAAGAGATATCAGCCGAAGTTCCACTGGATGGCTGTCTTTCCCGCTAATGCCCTTGGCTGGCCTTTTGAGGGCACCTAGAGACTTCGTGGTTTGGTAGGTCTTTGCTGAGTTTGCTCTTCTCTTCTAGTGCTGTGGAGGGTGAAGGGGAGATGTCATCTCTTTTCTCATGGATTTCATGAAAGACACTTGTCCCAGAGTCTTTTCCTCCCTGAGAAAGGGCAGGAATCATATCTGTCTTATTCATAGCTATGCTCTCAGTGTTCAGAAAAGGGATTTCAAGGACTCTCCTTAGGAGTCTACCTCAGTGGTTCCCAAATTCAGCCCAGATGAAGCCTTCAGGAGAGCCTGAATTCTAAAATAGTCAGTGCACTTCCATTGTATGAGAGTACCACATTTTTTTTAATGATTTAGGGTTATTTTTTTAATTTCTTTTTTTTTAGTTGTAGTTGAACATTTATTTATTTGTTTTTATGTGGTGTTGAGGATCAAACCCAGTGTCTCACACGTGCTAGGCGAGCACTCTACCACTGAGCCCCAGCCCCAGTCCCAGCCCCTCTTCTGTTTATTTTTATTTCCCTCTTTGTTTTAGATATTATAAGTAAAATTTCAGTGTATAGCTGTGTGGTTAAATCTTTACATCTATTATCCATAAGTACTTCCTTGGGATAATTTTTAGCAAAAGTTTTGTTGGGTCAAAGAGATTCATGTGAAGACTTTGGCAAATTTGGTCAAACTGCTTTCAGGATGCTAGACAGTGTGACACTCCCTGCAATAGGCTATCAGAGGACCAGTTTTCCTATACTGTGCCAACACTGGGAATTTTCAGATTTTCTTTTTTTTTTTTTTTTCCTAAACTTTTGCTAATGTGAGAAACCAAACATGACAATTCATGGGGCTTTAATTGGCTTTTCTTTGATTATTAGTGTAGTAGATACACATAAAGTGGGCCCCCAATGAGTCACACCATTGTGTAATACCCTCCCCTTAAATGCCTATGACTTGTTTCTAATGAGTAGAATATGGCAAAAGTGAAGTGAAAGGAATTTGCAAATATAATTAAGGTCCCCAATCAGTTAACATTGAATTAATCAAAAGGGAGATTTTCCTAGGTGGGCCTTACCTAATCAGGCAAGCTCTTCCAAAGAACTCAGACACTCAAGCAGTAGAATCTCTCTTCCCCACCCCAACCCTTCCTCCCTTCCTGCCTTCCTCACTCCTTCCCCCTTCTCCCTCTCCCTACCTTTGAAGAAGCAAACTATCATGAAATGAAGCTGAAAAAAAAAAAAAAAAGATTCTGTCACCAATCTGAAGGAGATTGGGGCTTGGGATCCTTCCAATCAAGGCTCCATATGAGAATGAACTTGGCTGCCCTGGACCTCAGGCTGGATCTGAGCACACCCAGCAGCCAGGCTCAGCATTCTGACTTACAGAGTCTATGAGATAGTGAATGCATGTAGTTTTAAGTCACAATTTGCAGAGATTTGTAATGCAGAATAAATATCTAAAACCACTTACAAGACTACAGTTTTCCATATGTTATTGATCAGATTTTTTTTCTTCTTTCCAGCCCATTTTTTGTTAAGGGGGGTGCTGGGGATTGAACCTGGGGCCTTGCACATGCCAGGCAAGTGCTCTACCACTGAGCTACATGCCACACACACCCCCCTTTTTTTAAGGATTTAATTTTTATTTTATTATTTATTTGTTTATTTATTTTTATGTGGTGCTGAGGATCAAACCCAGAGCCTCACCCATGTCAGGCGAGCACTCTACCACTGAGCCACAACCTCAGCTCCTGGTTTTTTGTTGTTGTTGTTGTTGTTGTTAATGTTCATAATTTTCTTATTGGTATTTGAATTTTTAACATAGTGAGTTTTTTTTAAGGGTCTCATTCCCTTAGTCTATCATCAACAACAAACAGCTATTGCACTGTGGTCAAGCCCCTGTGTCTCTCCAACTAGAGCTGTCTTTTGTGGTACCACTTGGAAGACCTATTTTCATCCTGAGGTTATAGGAGAGTTACATGCATTTTTACCTAGTACCTCTGTGGCTTTATCATTACTTTGAATCTTTAATTCGTGTGAAGCAGATGTTGGTCAATGGTGGGTGCAGGGAAGTCCAACTTTAATTTTCTTCAAATGTATCAACAGTATCTGCCAGGCTGGAGATGTAGCTAGATCAGGGGCAGAGCACTTGCCTGGCATGTGAGAGGCCCTAGATTCCATCCCCAGACTGGAAAAAGAAACAAACACACACCAAAAAATCATCCACTTTTCCAGTTAATTACTAGGAAGTCAAAAGCCTATTTTTGCCATTTCAATCTGCTACCTTAAATCTATCAGGTCTGCTTTGCTGTCAAACTATTTTCATTATTAGAACTTCACAATTAATTTGAATATCTCAAGGGGAAAATCACCTTTCATTTCTCTTCTTTTATAAACATCCCTTACTATTTTCACACATTTTTCCTTTCACCTTATCTTTGGAATTATTTTGTAAAATTCCATTGGCAATTTAATTATATTTGTGCTATACTGATTTATACTTATAGATTTATGCTTTTATAGGTTATTTGGGGGAGAAGCAACCCCACCCTTCTAAAGAATGTGGCACGATTGTGTATTTGCTTTCCTTTATGTAGCTTTAGTCAAGATTGTTTTCTTCATGAAGACTTACACCTTTCTTGTTGAATTGATAACAGAATTTTAAATATTTTTATTTGGAATATACTAATTCTAGTTTATTTTTTATAATTGTTTATGCTAAGCTATAGGAAATATATTTACTTTTTATACACTTATGCAACCATAAGTGGGCCAAGTTTGGAAAATATCCATGACAAGTTTTTTCCTAGAGAACCAGTCTTAAATTAAAAAAAAAAAAATTGTAGTTGTAGATGGGCAGAATGGCTTTATCTTATTTATTTTTATGTGGTGCTAAGGATGGAACCCAGTGCCTCACACATACTAGGCAAGTTCTCTGCCACTGAAATACAGCCCCAGCTCCCCAGCCCTTTTCCATATTTTATTTTGAGACAGGGTCTCACTAAGTTGCTTAGGTCCTTGCTTTTGCTGAGGTTAGCTTTAAATTCGAAATCTTCCTGCCTCAGCCTCCCCAAGCCACTGAGATTACAGGCATGCATCACTATGTCCGGCTAAGTTCTTAAATATTTATCAGTATTCACTGGTTTGTGCCTTTGCTCATTATTCTAACTCAGTTGGGAACCCCAAATTCCTTGGTTGTTCCCAAGGAATTCCTTGGGAATTCCTTGATTGGTTCCAGAATGGGCAGAAGTAAGCTAATTTGAGCCAAGGGAACAGAAAAAGGGTTTTTGATGAGGAGGGGGTTCTGCAAAGATACCAGCTTCTCTCACAGACAATGAGACATATGCACCTAAATATTTTGGTAGTCATTTTGCAAGTACAAATAAGAACAGTCCTTAGAATGAAGCTGAGACTGTGGACGGTAAAGCAGAGGAACTAAGAATTGATGACATGGTTGTCTCCCCAACTCCAGGGCTGCTCCTAGCTTTGTGCTTGTTTGAGCAAGCTCATTTTCTGCTTATGCCAGTTTTAGCTGGGCTTTCTTTACCCCAAAGCACTCATCTGACATGTGCAGACTGAATGAGATGCACGCAGTCCCGGCCAGTGCCGAGCACAAAGTGGTTGCAACAAACATAACAGCACTTTCCTTTTCCCTCCCTGCTGACCAGGACATTTGTACATTCTGCCCTTGGCTACCAACCCTCTCCCTCTACACTTGCAAGCCACATCTGATGCTTTTTCAACCTTAAAGGCACAGATCAAATCCCACCTCCCTCAAGAAGCCTGTCTAGTGTGAGGAGGTCTCCCCCATACCCAGCTGTCTGAGCCTCACCATTCATTGCCTGTACTGAGTCTAGGTCTCCTTCCCATTCTTCACACACCGCTTGGCCTCGCCTACCCAGCCTCCAGCAACCCTTTGACTCTCGTGATGTTCAGTGGGTATTTGGTGATGAACCTCCCGGCCATCAATCTCTTCTCCTTCTTGCACTTTACAAGATGTGGGTGCCGACATTTAGCAGAATGAGATTCCTACAACAACCAGAGGAACATTATTACTCTGTTCTGAAGGTCTTTACAAGTGTAAGGCATGTCCAAAGCAGCCATAAATAATTTATATTGTCCATAACTCAAGCTGATCAAAATAGACCTCATCGCAGTGATGTGGCAAAATCTGGTACAAGCTGCTTTTCTGCTGCCTCCAAACCGATTACACATTCAGAGCAGATGACAATCTGACTAGATTCTCTCCTGCAGAGGACTAATGCCCCATCCCCAATCACATTAATCACAATCTGCCCATGATCAGACCTGGGATAATCCCATCGGACAGGAGGTGACAACCTAGATTCTATTATCTCATGTTATTATCTATTTTTGGAATTTACTGGTAAATCAAACCTCCACAAGATGTTTTTCAGTGAAAGAGAATCCATCGGCATAGTTCTTTTGAAAAATTGCTGCTTCAGCTAGTGCCAAACATTATGAAATTTACATCTCCTGTTTCGTTACAAGATAATGAATAAGCAAATGGGACAAGAATCTATGGTCCTTGTTATGAAAAAAAAAACCCACACATATTTAATTTCTTACAAATATATGTTGGAAAGAATAGAAGACATCTTTTAAAACCTTTAAAAGGACAATAACTTTATTATGAGATAGTCTCATGTTGAAGATGATATGATCAATCAATCTTCATTTATTTTAGCATCATATGGGCAAGCATCCATGGTGGGCAAAGAGACTCAAACAAGCCCCCAAAGTCTGCAAAACCTAAATCCACATACATTTATGCAGGATGAAGGAGCTTAAAACAATATTCCGTTTTCCTGCTGGGGAAATTAATTGAAAAATAAGCATCATTAGCACCAAGTCAGACTGAGCTCTGACAGTGTACAGTTCCTCTAGTTTGGATGTAGATACTGTTAAAGGGACAAACAGGGCCCTAACACTAACCCTGGCTCATTTGGCAAGATGCTGGCCTCTCTGCACAATCACCGTCCCATCCTGGTTTAGTGCATCCATTCCTTTTGGATCTCAATCTCTCCCTTCTTTCTTCCCTCTACTTCCTTCTCATTTTACCCAGTACCTGGATCTTGGCAAGGGGAGAGGTGCTTCTAGAAGAAAACAGAACACTAAAAGGCAGGCAGGCCTAGAGGCAGCAGGCTGGCTAAAAAGAGCCAAAAAACTCCAGAGCCCTGGGCAAGCAGAGCTGGCTGTGTTCCCCCTTCTGGAAAGAGGGGGGAAATGCAACTTTCCCCAAAGCCAACAGGCACTGCTCCTCCCCACAGCCCACTCCTCTCCCAGGATCTAGGACTGGGGAGGCAGTTCCTGCAGCTACCTTCAGGGTGTAATTTGGGAGGAAACAAAGACTCTCGTGTATTTTTTTTAAGGGTTCATTTGTTTCTTCTTTCTGTAAAACTCCATGTGGTACTTTTATCTGCCTCTCACATCATCCCCTCACCACTGACTTGCCCAAGGACAAGAGCTAGGCTTATGGGCTTGTTCGTTTTAATATAGAATAACCTGGGCAACCTTGGCCTGTGTCTGTCCACTATGAAAAAAACAACAGACAAAATCATGTCCATTTGGACAGATGCAAGGACCACCAGTTCATAACTCATCTCGTGAACTGATGTGGGGTGTGGGTTTGGGTTTCCATCCTCTTACTAATTGTATTGGTATGAGTTATTGGTTTATTGACTTAGGAGCTGCTAAGATTTAGAATCTTCTTCAATACTTCTTTACAGAAATGTAACCTGTGCAGTTACATGGGCCCTGTGCTTTAGAAGGACTCCCTTATTGGTTTAACATTGTCATTGCTGTATTGGTGCTGAAAGAATCTCCAAAGTCTCTCTCAGTTTCCTGGTTCCAGAATTCTAGAAGGAAATAAGAAGAAGGAAAAGGGCGGGGGAAAGGGTGGGAAGATTGACTGAGCAAACAGATAAAATAATAAAAGTTGGTATGTTTTGGGTCATCTGTCCTGTTTTGGAAATTTCCTTCCAGCCCCTGATGCCCTGGCTGAGAACTTTCCTGTCTTCTTTTCCCCTATAGGTCTTGTTTTGAGGCTAGGAGCTGCCATTTATGGCCTGTGAATGACCACCTGCTTTCCACCACGCCCCCCACCCTCACCTGCTGGGATCTTTGTACACTAAATCTTCTTTGGGGGTAATTGTGAACAGTTTATTTTTTCTTTTTAGTTGTGTTTATTTATTTATTTTTATGTGGTGCTGAACATCAAACCCAGTGTCTCACACATGCTAGGCAAGTGCTCAACTATTGAGCCACACCCCCAGCCCTTGTGAACAGTTTTAGGCAGTAGTGGTGGAGTGAGGGAGGTTGGGGAAGAAAGAATCCAGGGAGGCTTCTCTGTGCTCCTGAAACCTTTCTAGGAGGAGGGTCATAGCTGGTGTTAGTTTTGGAGCTTGTGCAGTGATCCCAATAAGGATAGGGTACTCTGAAGCTAGGAGGCAAAGAACCAGAGCAGGGCCAGATTGAAGGTGCCCTGTGGCCGTGAATGGCAGGTATGCTTTTCTCCTACCCTAGTGCTAGACTTCTGGGGGTGGTTGTGACCCAGGAGATCCACATGGAGGAACCATGAAACTGGTTTTACAGCCATAGAGAAGTGAAGGTGTGAGTGATAAAGCCACACCCAATGAGTCATTAGTGGCCCAGTGAAAAAAAAAATACCAAGGAAGCCAGCACGGTGGTACACACCTGTAATCCCAGCAGCTCAGGAAGCTGAGGCAGGAAGATTGTGAGTTCAAAGCCAGCCTCAGCAACTCAGTGAGGCCCTAAGAAACTCAGGGAGACCCTGTCTCTAAATAAAATATTATAAAGGTGGGGGCTGGGGATGTGGCTCAGTGGTTAAGTGCCCCTGGGTTCAATCCCCAGTATCAAAAAAAAAAAAAAAAAGAAAAAAGAAAGAAAGAAAGAAAAAGAAGGGGCATCCAGACAGACCTGAGTTCACTGCCAGCTCTGACTTTGCCCTGTGGCTGTGGCCCTGTAACTTTCCCTCTAGCCTCAGTTCCCCCTGGAACAAATGGTTTTAACACAACCTACCTGGTGACACTGCTGGAAAGCCTAAGCAGTTAAAAACAGAGGCTTTGCACTGGTGGGTGCAGAACAAATATTGTCCTTCACTTGGCTTCCTGGCATGGAAGAGGCCACCTTCTGCCAAAGGCTCCTTCTGGGTGGAGTCTCAGAGGACTGGGTTTCCTGGTCAGGAAAGGGATGTTTCTCTGGGCAAGAGAGGGTTAAAGGTTGAGTCTAGGATTTTGCTTGGAGCTGCCCCCTCCTGGCCACTGGCACCCCTGATTGATTTAGTTGCTCCTGGCAGGGTGAGCAAGACCTCTGGTGGGAGCCTGACCTGGGCCAGGGGCCCCCAGGGGGAAGCCACCTGATGGGGTGTACTTTCTTTTTCTACACCCAACACACACTATAGAGACTATGCCCACATACACAGACATTACCTATGAATCAAGCTCATACTCAGAGCACACACGCATCCCCCATACTCATAGCAAGCACACATCAAATACACAAAGAAGTCTTCAGCTGACACACAGTCCACTCACTTATAAAGACTTCTCCAACAAGCCCAGAACTACACAGGCACCATGCACTGGAAAGAGGATCCCAACACACACACACACACACCACAGCCATAATGATAACCATTAGAGTGAAAGTGTTTCAAGCCCTTACTATGTGCCAGGTAGTATTCCAAGGCTTTTCCAGTAGTTAAATTTTTTACACAGGAGACATTGCTACTCTTATACCCCATATTGTAGATGAGGAAACTGAGGGCAGGAGAATTAAAATGAGATGCCTGACATTACACAAGTGGCCTGTGCAGAGATACTCTCTCTTCTCCTCTTTCCCCATTTATTTGTGTAATGCAAATGTAGCATTCTCTCTACCCCTGACGCACTCTGCACACATTCATCGCACTCTGCACACATTCATCGTGAACGCTGTTCGGGGATCTAGTGGCCAGAGATGCAAGAAACTGTTGACAGAGCCTTTGGTAGGCAGTGACAAAGAAACAGACCAGTAGGACTAAGACGTTCCAATGGTGGAAGCGGTGGTCACAAACCTGCCCGGGAGATCCAAGAACGTTCACGGTGAGGTGGAGCTTCACTGAGTGGTGGTCCTAGGGAGCCCTCAGGGCCTAGCCCGGTTTTCTACAAAGCTTCTCCCTGCGCTCTGGGCTGCACCCATTTCCGGGGAGCAGCCAGGATCTTAAACCCACCAGCCTCTGGTTCTTAATAGATTGGCAGCCGCGCTTGACTCGGTTTTTGGGCTGACACACCCGCGGAGATCAGGACTTGGGTCTGGGATTCCCGTGGACACTCTATCTCTAGGTGCTCACCCGCGCCCCACCCAGGCACGTGCAGGTTCTCGATATGCCTTTTAATGGGAAAACAACAGACACCATGGTCGGACAAATGTTATTTATAATTCATGAACCGGTTTATGAACCCTTTCAAACAAAACCTACAGAGATTTTTTTTTTTTTTAATATGCCTGGATTCTTCTTAGAATTCAGGGATTTTCTAAGGACTGATAAACCACTGTGTAGATAGTAAATTACTCCGCGAGCAATATTTTTTTCCTCTGCTTATTGATGTTGCAGTTGGTGTATGAAAAATCAGAGTTTGCAAAAATCACGTATTCTGGAAGTAGGACACACATTGGACCCCAGCCGTTTTCCTAGAAGGAGCTATGCAATTTGAGTGGGGAAAGAATAGGGGAGGTTTGATGTCAAATTGAAAACAAAGAAACAAAAAGCAAAAAGACAAGAAAAAAGAAGAAGAAAGAAAGCCAGAAGAAAAAGGAGGAGAAAAAGAACGAGAAGAAATAGGAGAAGCCACGAACGATGCAAGGATCAAATTAGGACCCGTCCCCAGAGTCTTTGGATTCTTCATTCTAGCGCTACCCACCTCCAACTTGTTTTTCTACAGGCAACTCGAGTGGTGAAGTCTCAAAAGAGTTGACACAAGTGGTCATTCCCTAACCTCTCTCTCTAGTTTGGATCCTGAGAACAAAAGCACACGAGAAAAGAAAGGTGACCAATTGGACGATGATGTTCACCTCCAAACGGTTCCCCTTTTCCCCAGGTCACTCGTCTCTACAGGGGATTTTTCTTCTTCTTCTTTTTTTAATTTATAAAAGAAAGAAGCTTCTAAAGGAGAGTCGGACCCATCTATCACCAGGTATCCATCACCTTGCTGGGGCCGATTGGGGAAACCGCCCAGCAAGCCCAAGAGGAAGCTCAGAGCTGCAGCGACCGCAGAGCCAACTTGGCGCTGACGCAGGGTCCAGCTGGGATTGCCGGACCCGGGGCGGGAGACAAGATCCCTGTAGATTTGAGGGGAGGGGGCTGCGCTCCATTGTTCACTACGAGCCAATCAGGTTTGGCCTCTTCTTCCCAGCCAATCTCCCTTCACCCCCTCCTTCTACCCTAACCCACCCCGCCCATCAACCCCCCCGGGTCCCCATCACCTCCCCCTCATCCCTAGCGATTCTGGGGAAGCTTGGTGACGCCACAGGTCCCGCCCTCAGCTCCGGCCCGGGGCGAGTGCGTGCTGACGTCATGCTGCGTGCGGGCCGGTGCGGAGTCGTTCCTTCAACTCCGCGGGGCAGGAGGAGTTAGTTAGCAAAGAACCGAGGCTGGGCGCACGACCCTCATCCTTCTGCCCCTGGTCGCACACTTTGCGCACATCTCTTTCTGCATGGTGGATATTATTTTTCATTATCCTTTTCTGGGTGCTATGGGGGATCATTCCAAGAGTAAGTCTTTCTCTCTGTGTGGGTGTGTATGAGTGTGCTTAATATGCAATATTTCTAATGCAGAAGAATGTTTAGTGGATTCTACAAGTGGCTTCTATTTGACAGGGTGCTTGAGGGGGAAAAAATAAAACGAGTGCATTTCTCCTATAGGACTGCTCATCCTTTGAAATCTGTTGTTTTGCTTTATAATTAAATACTGTTTCTCGAGCCAGATAGGCTGACCTCAGGGTGTGAATTCTGCTTCTGTTTTGCGCTAAGGCAATCCGATTTGATTTAGGGATGTGGGGTTTTTGTTTGTTTGTTTCCTTGTCTTTGGGTCTCTCAAAGCTGGAAAGATTTATCTCGCTTGATCTGAGATATTTAAATTAAGACATGTCAGAAGAATGAGCAGGGACTCCACTGAAAGCTGATGTGTCTCTGGTGGGATAGGAGGGAGTCGCAGTGAGTGGGAATGTGCTGGCGGAAATGCCGGGACATCACCGTTCAGTATTGATGTCGCGTCTCTGGTGCTGAACTATGTATTCACTCTCGTCTCACCCCAGAGCTTAGTTACAAGATATACTGATTCAACGACCGTGTTCAATGAATGTGATAGCGAAAGTATTTGGAGAGGGAGACGAAAAGCCTTCACAAAATCAGAATATTTTGTTTTTTCGTTTCCAATTTTCTGGACCATTAGAAAGCTCATCTTTTCCTTGCGCTCACAATTCTTGAAAGAGTGAAAGAACGAGCGGATTGGGTTGGGGCTGGAGTGGCCGAGGACGGCCGGGGTCCGGGCAGCCAGGCCTGACGCGGGCCCTGCGCCCTTCCCCGGCAGAGAAGCCCGGGACCGCCATGTGCGTGGGCTGCGGGAGTCAGATCCACGACCAGTTTATCCTTCGGGTGTCGCCCGACCTCGAGTGGCATGCCGCCTGCCTCAAGTGCGCTGAGTGCAGCCAGTACCTAGATGAGACGTGCACGTGCTTCGTGAGAGACGGGAAGACCTACTGCAAGCGGGACTACGTAAGGTGAGGCTGGAGGGAGTTCGGGATTCCGGTACCGCCTGCTAGGGCCGGGCCCAGGCCTGGGATGGCAACCCGCCCTCCTGCTCCCACCAGGCCCGGGAGACGGCTATCCCAACCCCGGCGCGTCGGCGCAACTCCGGGCCCAGGACCCCTGCGGGCAAGTCCCCCGCAGCCCCCAGTGAGCCACAGAGCATCTGGGGCGAGAGTCTCCCGGACCCCATAGCAGCGTGGGAGGTGAGGCCGGCTGCAGGCTCCACGCTGACGCAGCTGGTGCCTTGGGCCCCCAGGCTGTTCGGCATCAAGTGCGCCAAGTGCCAGGTGGGCTTCAGCAGCAGCGACCTGGTGATGCGGGCGCGGGACAGCGTGTACCACATAGAGTGCTTCCGCTGCTCCGTGTGCAGCCGCCAGCTGCTGCCTGGAGATGAGTTCTCGCTGAGGGAGCACGAACTGCTCTGCCGCGCAGATCACGGCCTCCTGCTTGAGCGCGCCGCGGCCGGCAGCCCGCGCAGCCCCGGTCCTCTCCCCGGAGCCCGCGGCCTGCATCTGCCAGGTAAGCCGTGCCCTCGGGCTGCGCCTCCCGCCTGCGTCGGTGTCAGTGGTGTGTGTGTGTGTGTGTGTGTGTGTGTGTGTGTGTAGGGTGCTATGCTCCTGACCTGAAGTGGTCAGTTCCGTGAGGTTCCATCTGCTGTGTCGGTTTTTCCGTATGAATGCGGAACTGTGTGCTGAGAGCCAGGCTGTGTGTTCGTCTGTGTCAGGCAGACATTGCATGTATGAATTTGGGGAATTGTGAATTGTGTTCTCCGTGACTGGGAATATGTGGGACACACTGCTAGGAGAAGCAGAAAGTGAATGCCAACAGGGGATTTTAAATGGTGCCTGTCGGAGGGACTTGTATTTGGAATTTCTTCCAGGAATATGTGTTATTGTCAGAAAGGAAAGATAGGTTTGCCTGGGGGGTGTATATGTAAGTAATACAGCTCCCAACTGGGAGCTGGGAAGGCACTCAGCCAGTCAGGAGCCCACCGAAGGCCAACCATCCAACAAAGAGGTTTCTGTAATTTGTATTTTGAGGCCCAATTTGATGCACAACTTAGTCAAGTGCTTCTTGGGGAGAGAGTATAAGGGCACAGCAGATTCCCTGTATCAAAGAAAGCCCTCACTAGGATATTCTGTGTCCTAATCAGGAGCTGCCTAGAAACGGGATATTAATGTAACCATAGGCAGGCCGAGAAAGTGAGAAAGCTTGGGACCCCAGCCTCAGGTAGTCGGTGGCATTATAGCACTGATATTTAGATCAAGCTGAGCCTCTGGGTGCTGTGTGGCTTTGCAACACTCCTCCCCTCCCTGGATCTCTATTTCCTCCCTATAGAAAGAGGAAATTGGGCTGGATGGGTTATTTGTAAATATTTATCTGGACCTAGAAATGCCTAGGGGAACATTAATCAATGCAGCATGTATCCCTGAGTGTATAGACCAGGTTTGGATAGGACTGTGGTACAAAATGAAGCAGATATTGAGTGCAACCCTGTCTGGGATCTGGAAGGGGCTCCCCTTTGTTTGTGGCGGGCTGTCTGCTGCAGGCTGCAGGAATCGGGCTATTTCCCAGGAATTGGGAGAACCGGAGGCTAATTCGAGAGTGCCAGCGTTTTCCGCCCGCTGGGCCAGGGCAGTCTGGAGCCTTGGGAGAAGGGTCCTAGGGCTCAAAGGCCCCAAGGCAGGCAGGAAGGAACTGTGTAGGGCCCTAGAGGCCGGTACTTGCCCCAGGCCTGGTTTTTGAGACGCGTGGCGTAGGCCTGTCGGAATCGGCTCTGAAGGAGGAGGAAGGGCCCTCAGAGGCCCCCAGGAGTGGGAGATCATCCCTCGGTCCCAAAGTCGCGCCTCACCCCGGGTACGCTAGTTTCCCTTCTCCCGCCAGAGTCCCGGGCGCGCCTCCGGTCTCTTCCTCTGAAACTCCGACTTCTTTCGGAGGACTCTGCCAGTCCCTAAGGGGCCCTAGCGGCTCTCCTAGGGTCGGGTGAGTGGAGGAGGCATAACCTGGATAGTCACTATGGTCCCCAGCCCCGGGAGATCGCAGCAGGGCAACTCCACCTGGGAGCAAGGAAAAAGGGGGAAACGCAAAGTTCCTTTGAGAGAGGAACAATAAACGAAATAAAAGGGAAACGAAATCGGGCCCTGGAGGGCTCTGCCACCCGGAGGGTAGTCTTTGTGCGAGTAGGTGGCTGCCCTTCGTTCACCTCTCGCCCCACCCTGTCCTCGCAGACCCTGGGTCGGGCCGACAGCCCTCGCTGCGTCCACACGTGCACAAGCAGACGGAGAAGACGACCCGAGTTCGGACTGTGCTCAACGAGAAGCAGCTGCACACTCTGAGGACGTGCTACGCCGCCAACCCGCGGCCAGATGCGCTCATGAAGGAACAACTTGTGGAGATGACCGGCCTGAGCCCGCGGGTCATCCGCGTATGGTTCCAGAACAAGCGGT